TTCGTTCTAGAAAATGGCTATCCCTTGATCGACAGGGTCTTATTCCCGTCGTATTCTATCTTATACACGGACGATGCTATAAGACTGCCTACTTACTCCGTACGGGGCAGAATCACAGTCATTAAGCCGATATAGGTCCTATTCGGGCGCGATTGGTCCCGTGTTTCACAGCTTGCGTAAGTGAAAGGGTAAGCTCACGACTAACAACAATTAATCACTCTCACAAAATGCGAGTCCGAGAAACAAAATTGATCGATTAATTTACCAGAATAGGAAGCATTCAAGCGCAGCTTATTTAGGTCTCGTGTGGCTTGGAGCTTAACATCCTTGCCTCGTTCCTGATTCGTATCCGCTGACGTCGTTGTTTCAACTTCCCTCCCCCACTAACATTAGCCACTATCAAGTTAACCGCCGACCTCTTTCATCTTCATCGCATTATCTATAACTAGTACCTACAAATCTCACTGTTCACTATCAAATGATTATCCAAGCTTAGATCTCCTCTCAACCCCCTCATCACCTGTGAGCAGCTGCCATGGCAGGCATTGTTGATGAAAAAGCTGCTGCGGGTCGGCAGCATCAACCCCGCGATGGCGATAACAGAAACACAGGAGCTGTAGCCTCAGACGACCTTCAGTTACCAGATATCAACCCAGCTGAGGGACATGGAGCACCGCCCCCTTATGGAGAGAATCATGATCAGGTTCATTTCTCACAGCCTGGGTTTGACGCTGGTGCAGCAATAACTGGTACATACCATACGTCTCTGCATATGAAACTTGTATAAACTAACCCGCGTCATTCTCTAGGCGATGGTCGAGTCAATATCAATATCAATGCTAAGAACAGGAGGCTTACAGACCTTCTCGCTCCAACGCTTCAAGGTCAACTTGCACCTGAGCCTGAACAGCCTGAACTTCCTCCTGCATATATCCCTCCTAGTCTGGGAGGTCTACCCGGACAAACGCCACCACCCAAACTCAATGTCGTCGTCCAGATTGTGGGATCTCGCGGAGATGTTCAACCCTTTGTCGCTCTGGGAAAGGTTCTCAAGGATACTTATGGACACAGAGTCCGAATAGCTACCCACCCTACTTTCCAACCCTTTGTTGAGGAGAATGGTCTCGAGTTCTTCAGTATTGGTGGCGACCCTGCTGAACTGATGGCATTTATGGTCAAACACCCTGGTCTCATGCCTGGTTTTGATGCCATCACAAGTGGCGAAGTCAGCAAACGCCGAAAAGGTATTCAAGAAATTCTTATGGGATGTTGGCGATCTTGTATCGAAGGAGGAGACGGACTCGGTCCGCCACCAAAACCACATGCCTCAAATGCTCCATTGGACGTATCTCTGGAGGTTCCAGGCGGACCTGGTCAAGAGCCCTTTGTTGCCGATGCTCTCATCGCGAACCCTCCTAGCTTCGCTCATGTTCATATTGCTGAAAAGTTGGGCATCCCGGTGCACATGATGTTTACGTGAGTCTCTTGCCTTGATGCAATGATGATGAATACTGATTGCCCCTTTAGCATGCCTTGGTCCCCAACACGAGCCTTTCCTCACCCATTGGCAAATATCCAGTCATCAAATACAGACGACGTGATGACGAACTATATGTCGTACACTCTCGTCGAAATGATGACATGGCAGGGCTTAGGAGATGTCATCAACAGGTTCCGGGAGAAGGCACTCGATCTCCCCCCACTTTCACTAATCTGGGCACCTGGACTTCTTGCAAGACTCAAGATCTCTTGGACATATTGCTGGTCAGTTCTCCTAGCACATTTCAGGTATACATCTAACTTGGTACAGGTCACCGGCATTGATTCCCAAGCCCAATGATTGGGGACGACATATCGACATTGCTGGCTTTTACTTTCTCAATCTTGCTTCCTCATACACCCCTGATCCAGACCTAGAAGCATTTCTTCGAGATGGCCCGCCCCCTGTTTACATCGGATTCGGATCCATCGTTGTGGACGACCCCAATGCCATGACCGAGATGATCTTTGAGGCAGTCAGACTTTCAGGCGTCAGGGCATTGGTCTCCAAGGGCTGGGGAGGACTTGGTGCTGATGATCTTGGCAAACCTGATGGCGTGTTTATGCTTGGCAATGTTCCTCACGACTGGCTGTTTGAGCACGTCTCATGTGTGGTACATCACGGTGGTGCTGGCACCACTGCCGCTGGTATCAAGGCCGGAAAACCTACTCTTGTGGTTCCCTTCTTCGGCGATCAACCATTCTGGGGTGCTATGATAGCGAGAGCCAATGCTGGCCCCGACCCCATTCCTTACAAACAACTGACAGCAGAGAAGCTTGCAGAAGCCATCAACTTTTGTGTCAAACCGGAGACTCTAGAACAGGCCAAAATTCTGGGTCAGAAAATTCGAGAAGAACGAGGAACTGACGTTGGTGGTAAGAGCTTCCACGATCATCTGGACACGGACAAGTTGCGTTGTACTTTGGCTCCAAGCCGAGCTGCAGCATGGCGCGTAAGGAGAAGTCAAGTAAGGCTGAGTGCTTTTGCGGCTGCAGTGTTGGTTGAGCAAGGTTTACTGCAATGGTCTGACCTCAAACTGTAAGTCGACATATGGAAACTGCTAGGGTTGAGCTAACATGTACAGATACCGTATGACGGAGTACAACACGGAAGAACAGCCGACTGACCCAATCTCTGCTTGCACATTGTCACTTGTCACTGATATAGGAGGGATCGGAATGGCAATCGCCGATATGCCCAGGGAGCTTTTCAAGAGCATGTCGCAGCCCAAGAAGAAAAACTCAGCTGCAGGAGAAGCACAGGATGGTGCAACCCCTCTGGCATCAGGAAGCGAGACGTCACTCCCTGCACCTCAGGGCAATGAGTCGGAGAAAAGATCAACACCTGCACCTAGTATTGCCGACACAGAAACTTTGGGCTCTACCATTTCTACTACTGCTCACTCCAATACCTCACAGCCAACGCTGAGTGACACAGCATCCAGCGCCTCTCGTCCTTGGTCTCCAGACCAATCAAGTACCCAAGGATCTGTCAATGACAAATCTTGGAAAGAGCAGATCAAAGAAGCGGCTGGTAAGCAGCAGCAGCGTCGTGCGTCGTCCGTCAACTACGTGAATGCAGCTGTCGGAACTGGAAAGGGAGTTGGCCGGGTTGTGACCACTGGTGCCAGAACACCAATGAACTTCTGTCTTGGACTAGCCAGGGGTTTCAGAAACATGCCAAGGCTGTATAATGATGACACTATTCGTCCGGTCGAAAAGGTAACGGGAGTTGGCTCCGGAGTTGTGGTCGCAGGCAAGGAGTTTGGCTATGGCCTGTTTGATGGCATCACTGGTCTGGTAACACAGCCTTTGAAAGGTGCCGAGAAGGAGGGAGTCCAGGGGCTGGTCAAGGGCTTTGGCAAGGGTATCGGAGGTCTGATTGCGAAGCCGGCAGCCGGTAAGTTTGTTGTCGAAGCGTCAGGAATTGCTGTACTGACATAAAGCAGGTTTCTGGGCCATCCCAGCTTACACCATGCAGGGTGTCAATGCAGAGGTCTCCAAGTACTTTGCCAAGAGTGTCCAGAACTATATCACCTCGTCACGGGCTACCCAGGGTCAACGCGAGATGCACGAGGCAACCCCGGGCGAAAGAGATGATGTTGTTCAAAGATGGAACAACGTCAAGTTCGACCTCAAGAACTTCTACCAGTGGAAGAGAAAGGAAAAGGTTGCAGGAAAGCGCCCTGAAGAGCCCCGTCTCGACAGCTCAGAGGCTGGGTTTGAGCGGCCACGTACAGGATGGAGACAGACTAAGAATATGTCTTTTGAGGAACGAAAGAAACTTCACGCCGACAAGGATGCATGGAAGAGGGGATTCCTGGACGCGCCTGTCCCGCAATCAAACGCAAATGATGCTGCAAGTATACAACCCAGCCCATCTGAGGATCCAGAGCTTGAAAAGGCCATTCGGGCGTCAGTGCGTGAGACATCGCGTGGCGACAGTGAGGAAGACGCCCATGTGGAGGCAGCTATCCGTGAGAGCATCAAGGCTGTTCGGCAACAGGTTGGGTCAAGTGAGGCAGGCCCGCTTCCTCTAAAAGATCCGTCCATTTTCGAGGATGCCGACTATCAAATCACGGACGAAGAGTATCAGGCCCTTGTTGAACAGGCGATCCAGCAGAGTCTAGGCAACGATGTGCCGTTGCCCGACTATTCTGATGTGCCAGAGCTTGACGCAACGGATACTGTGTCTCAAACTCCCGCCCAGACCTCCACCCAGGAAGACGATGCGGAGCTCAAGCGAGCCATTGAAGCCTCCAGAAACCAACCTCCGCCGCCGCTCCCGCCGAGGGAAGAAAATGACGATGAGCTTGAACGGGCCATTGCGGCGTCGAGAGAAGCTATGGAACAGGAAAGCAATCAGCGGTCTGAGGAAGATATCGTTATGGAGTACGTCAAGCGACAGAGCTTGGCGGAGGAAGAGTATAGAAAACAAATGGCAAAGGGGAAGAGTGCAGTGGGTGGCGGCGATGATGAAGACGACGAGGAGTTGAAGCGGGCAATGGAGGAGAGTTTGAAGATGAATCGGGGAGATGCATCAGGCCCATCAGGAAGATGAGGCGGTAAACGCAACAGACGGCGATGTGATGTGAATTCGACAAACCTGCAATACACTAGGATACCCGCATTAAGTACGAAACAAATGAATCGTGATGATATAATTGTGTACCTATTTTTGCAAACAATCGCGTCAAGTGTATGCGTGCACCATGTCATTGGTTTGATGATGGCAGATTACAAGCACTCGGCCGACGTGCATATGCTAGTAACTCACCGTGTATGCATCCCCCTGTCTCTGTCTATCAACCTCTCTGCCAGATAACTTGAGTACAGGGCCAGAAAAAGTATATATCCCATTCCAGTCACTTGTACTCCTAACTCCAACATCTCCTCTCGTTTACCTTGCAACACAACTACCACACTCAATCATCCTCCAATCTACCGACAGACCTGTGAAAATGCCTGAGCAAGAGAACGAACGTGTAAGTGAAATACATTCAGCGTCTTGTTTGTTCATTCTTCGTATTAACGGCTCTCTTAAACGATCACAGTCACAGCTTGCGGAACCATCCACAGCCAAGTCTCCTCAGGATGGGAGTGTCAGTGTCAAAAGACCTGTAAGTCCGTGAAACAACGCATACGCCTCCGATATATGCTAAGTTGAGAAAATAGGCCAGAGTTGACAAGAGGAAGAACCGGTATCCACGTCCTTCACCTCAGGGTCGCGATGCCAGATGGTTGGCCCTCTTCGAGCAGCCGCGTAGAGCCGCCAGGATCGAGGGGTGGACTTTTGAGGAGTTTGAGAAGCAGTATAAGAAAAGCACTGAGGTTATTCGGACTCTGTAAAACAAGTATAAAGAGCTTCACGCAACGATCGAGGCTCTTCAGAGGGAGCTGAGAGGAGGGTCCAACAGTGTAGACCAAATCTGAGGATAGGGAGCCCCTATCGTTCGTCTATCTATATTGGACTTGTTGGGTAAATGTTAGTTGCCACGTCAAATTGAGCATCTCTTCTACCATATACTTATCTTCAACATGTAACGAGACCTTGAATGGGCATATATGAACCGGTAGAGTGGAAGATATTGGGCAGTGTGTAGCGAAGCGTCTTCTGGATAGTAGATCTGGAGCATGTAACTATACCACATCTCAGCTTGTACAGAAGATTAAGGTCGTTGTGCATATATAGACGCCAATTTCTGCTGCTATAATAGGATACATCGTCCGTATTGTAGCGAAGTGATCTTGTATATGTCGAGACATACAATAAGTCAGGTAGATATACGTTTGCCCTAGAATAAATAGACAATGAAAGGTTTCTGTGCAAGTAAAAGCTATTTCCTCGGTGTTTGGCAGTGATGGCAACCTGGCAGGCCCAATTAACTAGCTGATGGGGGGGTCCTTTATTTCTCCTGGGCCACAAGTCTCTCCCTCCTTCATCACCACCCACTCCCCGTTTTTCGTTCCTACAAAGCAAAGTTTTTGGTGAGACTCGGTCTCAGGATGCTACAATGAGTGATATTCCTCGTTTCAACAGTGGCTACAAGCGAAAGAAGAGTGAGGGCCACCAACTCGTGCGTCCTCCCCCTCTTCACCCTCGTATCACCTCGAGCTGACGCAAACAGATGCAGAACCTGGAGGCATCCAGCCTTGCTGTCCTCAAGACTACTGAGGATTCTGACGATGTCTCTGGCGCTGCTAAGAGGGATGGTAACAGTAGCGACAATGGTTCTCCTCCGACGAAGAAGAAGAAGCGCACCCACAAGCCTCGCAAGGCTATCAAGGGCCAACCTCGTGAGACCCCTTGCGTAAGATGCATTTCGAGAATGGCCGACAAAGGCCACGAACACGTTTGTTTCTCTCAAGCTTGTAAGTTGTCTTTCTTTCGGTCTCGCTATCTTTGTCTATGTCCGTGTCGATGCAAGACCTGTCCTAACTTCTATGACCAGCCACGATGGCCTCCGCCTGCTACGACTGCGCCCATATACGCAGTAGCTGCAAACTTGTAAGCTCGATACCTCTGTTATTCTATTCCCATAGATATTCTCTAATTTCGTTTGACAGCCCGTGGGTCACGCTGTTGAACTTGGACAGCAGCTCCAGAACTTTGCCCTCCACATCGTTGACAGCCAAAGCGTGAGTTTGAGACCTATCCTAACAATGTTTAATTTACTAACTCTCTTAAGGCCGATGAAAGAGCTACACAGTTCGAATGGCTTCAAAGAGCCAGGGCTGCAAAGGCATCTCTCACAGCGGTCCAGGAGATGCCTAGTGTTGCTCCTAATCAAGGATCGCAGAGTGCCTCTGAGGAGCTTGATCCTGCTTCCTCTAGCAACATGCCTCCTGTTGGTAGCATGGAACCCCTCTCAACCGTTCCTACGCATCCTATCCAGTCTGGGCAGCACTACATGGCTCCGCCCCATGGCATGTTTGTTCCCGGAAGCTTTGCTGCTCCTCGGTATCCCCCGGCCGTCCAGAGCCCCCAAGTCTTGCAGAGCATCCCAGCAGGTGGCTTCGTGAGTCCCCAGGGCCCCCTTTTCCAGGGAATCTCTCGCCATGGCCCAGGACCTTACTACAACCAGGCCGATTACTTGATAGGCCGCCTCGAGTCGACTTTGAATCGAGTTGCCGCAGGTTTCGAAGCAAACAACAGACTCATCCGACAAATCCTGGCTCAAGGTGACCAGAACACCAACGCCCCCGTTGATTTCAACAGTTAGAATGAAACTCGCCTTAAAGCAACCAACTGACTTGTCCGCCGAGTTGCTGATGAGATTGGTACCATCAGAGAGGGAACTAAGGCCAGTCTCCTCCCTTTTGGGTGGTCTACGATATCAAGATCGGGGTCCTTGACCTTTCTATAGAGAATAGACCTCGAGTAATCCCGTACTGTGTTTATCTTACTGATGTGTCTTGTGACATGATTTAACTTATTTACTGACCTGCCGAGCCAGTCTCTGCCTACCAACGAGCCTGGTTCAGCTGAATGTTGCAGTCAAAGGCAGCAGCTATATGATCTTTTGAGACTCTACACCAAGGAAGGGGCTTTTTTAATGCTAGTTTTCATTTTGTAATACATGGCATTTCGTTCTTCAAACAACGGTCCGACCCTTCTTCAGTGATATGTCGCATCAACACCATATTCTTGGGCTTTTTATGGAAAATACATGTATTACATTGAAGAGGAGGGCTGTCCCAAGACAACATGGGCTCGTTCAAGCATAGATATCAACAATGATTTAAGTCTCTGAATAGACTTGCAAGTCTCGGTGGCATTTTTCAATGGATTTCTTCCATATGCGTCATCTCAGGCACTTCTGCGTCGTTGATCACAAAGCTGAATTGCATATCGTACTCCACCATCACTCCGGCCACCTCAGATGGTAGTTATCAACACCAACAATAGATAGTTTTTTTAATAGACGATCAAGTACATTCCAGACCATAAATATTACGATATACTTTCAATCTTCGTATGATCAAGAACAGAAGAATTTACCCCCTGATGGGCAGTCTGTGAGGCCTGGTGGAGTGATGAAGTACGATAGTAGCTTTTTGGTAACTGTTAGGCGACATCTGGTCTACGAGACCTACTTTAACAGAGTAATTCACTGTAAGGCCTTTCACCATTCACCAAATATAATGTCAGCTACAGAATTGCCAACAACATAGCCCCAGCTTCGGTTCTGCAATTCGAATGACACTGCATGCCACGAATATTCAACATACATCACATACACTCAGCATAGGTCTCATTCTCTTGCGTCAAAACAGTCAAAGTCCAGATTGTCGGTTCGGACCCTTTTTCCCGAGATATAATACAAAGGCTCCCCTCATAAACCGCAATACACAAACAAAATTTCCAGTGGCCGTATTAACCCCATTGCAGATGGCGCATCCTCTCGTCTGTGAGAGGTCCTACTCCATAAAAAATCATCTCCCCCTCTTCTCTTCGAGTTTCCCCTTGGTCGTAGTGCAATTTAGCTGGAGAACTTTCGGGTAATCTTGGCGATAACTGAAATAGAGTTAGCACACACAATTGTAGCGAGAAGGGATCGGGGGGTGAAGTACTGTGAAGAGCAACGACGCTGAAGATGAAGACAAGGGACAGAACGAGAACGACGACAGGGTCGACCTTCAGACCAGGCGACTCATCGGTGTAAAGTCCTGTCGGGTTTGTTAGCACAGTCATCCAATGGCGCTTGTGTCCCAATCATCAAGACAGGGCGGCAACGTACGCAGCATGGTGCTGCTGGAACCACCGGCGCCAGCGGCGCGAGTGCTGCTTGGTCGAGCATTGGCAATCTTCTCCTTCTGGTCGGCAGCAGCGCGTCGTCGGATAGCGGTACGGGGACCACCAGGAATAGCAGGCGATGAGGGACGGCCGATGTTGGCACCGCTCGCAGCAGCGCCGCCGTTGACGGGAGAAGAAGGACGAGGAGAAGACTAGGAAGAGAATATGTCAGCAAATTGATGTTCCCAGGCTCAAAGATTCGAACTCAGTCGCAATGCGACACTAGCTTCAATTGAAGTCGTAGGAGTAAAGCAGTCATACCATTGTTGAAGAATTAAACCTGGAGAAGGAGACTTGACAAAGGAATCACTGCAGGATTCCGAGAACCTAAGGCGCGAAGGGGAGAAATAAAGGAGAGGATGGTTTGGGTACTGAGTTGGACGTTGATGGAACCAAGATCGAGAGAGACGACACGGGGACTAAATTAATGGAGGTGTTGTGCAATTCCCCCCCGTAAATGGAGCACCCTGTTTATGGAGTTAGTTGAGGCCACCTTCACCAGAAAGAAGGGGACGCGGTGCTATGATTTTCCGGTGGCGTTAGAGAGAGAGAGAGAGCTCCAGCCTCTACTAACATTAGTTAGGTCAGGGACCACAGGGAACAGCTCTCTCCACAATATGAGCTGAAAGCTCCACCACTACAGCACGGGCAAGCTACCTAACTTAGCGACCATGCGATAGTTTGCCAATTCAAGTCAAGCTTCAAAAGGAAAACATGTGATTTATCCAATTCAAAAAAGAAAAGGCCACCATCGTTGTTTTTGTTTTTTTGGTTGTTAAGAAATTTTACAATTTAGTGAGACTATGTATGGGAGAGATGGCTGTAGCCTCTACACCTGTCGATCCTATCATTTGGTCAGGCGGATTGGATATCAACGACAAACGCTCTCTTGCTCGCTTCCGAGTCCGCTAGCAGACTCGATATGAATGTATCAGGGGGTGGTGTATAATCAAAAAAAAATAACAACAACGACAAGATGAGGAATAAGAAGCGGTAGCAAAGACAGAAACCATAAGACAAAGGGAATCAAGAGAACAAAAAACATTCCGCGCATCGCTGGCGCGTCATCCATACACTCCACTTGTCCAGTTCCTCCTCCAGCTCTATCATCCCCAGGAGATGGGAAGACGGGTTTTTGGCTCTTCTTGTGAGACTGCCTGTTGCTTCAGCCCAGCCCAGCCCAGCGTATACTACACAACGTCCCACCCATCAATCCTCTCCGTCCCTGAAGATGAAGAGCCCCTGATATGTGTCCCGTCTCCTGATGCTGATCCATCTTTTGTGCTTCGAATCTGTGAGATGTAATGGTAGAGCCTGCTTCAACAGGCCTCTGTGCTGATGCCGACCAAAGACCGCCAGGTATCTTTTGTATAAAAGGAAGTTGGAGCGTAATGGTAAGGTCCGTTTCGTTTCGTTTCGTGCCACCCGCTCAATTATGTATGATTAGACAATAGTACATCTACAACAGGAAACGAAAGCTCTCAACCAAACGCCTTCCGCTATGATGGCAACTCTGCAGATCAAGGGTTGTAGTTCGAATCGTTGAAAAGTG